TATACAAGGACTAATACCACTGAGACGTACGCAGAAGTGCCACAAAGGTTTTGATTTCCACCACTTAGGAACATCAAGAGGACACGGGTAGGGATCCCTTGGGCAAGGGCAAGTAGATAAAGACTGAGTGACTTGCCAATGCACTTTGTCTCGGAATAAATCATTCCAAGTGAACTTTCAGCTGCAAATGGTAAAATACGGATAGTGACAACAATTTACACAATATCATCCTTTTCAAACATTATAGTTTAGGTGTAATTATATAAATATAATTTTGCATATGATTTATTATTTCTTCAAATGGACAATTGAGGCACTCTATCTTTTGGAGTGAAAAAAGAAGCAACAACAACAACAACACTAAACAATAATAACAAATTTTGAATATGATGACTTACTCCACACATCACCCGGCGACGTAGCATTTCTCAAAATCCTTGAAAGGACAAACGCTGCTGCCAGTTGAAATGCCGGAGTATCTTGTCCAAAGTATGGAACCTTAAGTTAGATGGAAAATAAAATATGTTCAGCAAGAAGCGCTATTGGCAATAGGATATCAGCTGATCATGAGACTGCACCCAAAGGTACTGACAAATGAAAAAAAAATCAATTGGCTTATTATTTGAAACAAACTGATCTAACACAACTGATTAGGAACACACTTATCCAATTAAACAATATGCCACTATCCGATACATCATTGTCATATTTTAAATGGAATGTTTATTATAGTATATACCTGTGGAAGGCCTGCTTGAGACATCCATAATTTAGCAGGTCACTATTCACTACCAACTCATACTGATTAAGGTCAGAGTTCAGGCGGTGTGCGTCACGACCCGCAATACGTGATGGGTAAAAATGTGGTAAAAATGTGGCGGCGCTCATTTCTCGCTTGACACCAGCGAGTGAACATCTCAGCGAGCTCTTGGCACATACAGAGACAATAGAATGGGAATTAAAACCTTGCTTCCTTTTCTGAAAGACGTCACTGAAAACAGCTATTTAGACAGTTTTAAAGGTCTCGTGGCGGCCGTAGATGCGTCTTGTTGGTTACACAAGGCCATTGCGATCAGTTATTCGCAATTCGGAGACGATCGAAGGTGAGAACTTTTAATATGAAAGTTTTACTATGTCTTAATTTGTATTGCATTTTAACTAATGTTTTTACTTCTTAGAGTGAAGGAGATCTGCAATTCTTATCTGGATCTACTGGAAAGGAATAAAATTCGACCGTTGGTCGTGTTCGACGGATTGCCGCTACCGGGCAAGGACAGAGAGCGTGATAACAGAGCAATGTGAGAGAATTTTTTTTGCATTGACAGTTGAAGCTCAGTTCAAATATTTAAGCCTTTTGTCTAATTTTCTTTAGTAGAAATGATTTTTTTTCAGCAGACATTGATCTCCCATAAATCTTCTTCCTTTAGGCAAAAAAACAACAACAACAAAAAGCTGACCAACTTCGGCGCAGTGGAAAGGTGACTGAGGCAAGAAACGCTTTGGCTGCAGCTGCAGAAATTAACCACGATCTCGTCTGTGGGTTTATTCAAGTAAGTCTAAGTCTCAATTTTGGCATAAAGTTTATCATTTCAGTAAGCTTAAAATACATTTTTTTCTAGACTTCTTAATAATTAAATATTGTATTGTTTTTAATTAAAAATTGAATGACCTCGTTAAGATAATTTTTATTCTTTTCATTTATAGACTTGCCGACAAAAGTCTATTGATTATGTGGTAGCTCCAGACGAGGCTGATGCAGAGATAGCATTACTTTATGAGCATGGCTATGTAGATATTGCAATCTCAGAGGATTCCGACCTTCTTGCTTATGGATGCCAAAAGGTACATTGAATAACCCATACAATTTATCATCCAAATGCTTATTCAAAGCCTGGCTGTGTTTACTTGATTTTCAACAGAATGAACTATAAGCTTATAGTTTTAGTCCTTTTTTATATCGTAACTATTAATTTCATAAACTAGAACCCAATTGCAAATAGCAGCAGATCTCTGAACACTTTAAAGGTTTTACTGAAAAAAAAATTTAGAGGCTTTCTGTAATTTTTAATCATTTTCTTATTCTTTTTATTGTCATTAGGTTCTTTTTTTCGATTATACAATTTTATTAATTTGTACAAGTATCAATTTGAAATTAGTAGCACTTAGAATTAGTTATAAATTGTATACATTTTTATTTTTATGAACTCAATGTTTTGTGCAGGCGATCATACAGGTATACTCATGAAGCCTGTGCAATATAAATGCATATACTATTATTACTATTACCTTTGGTTTTCTCCGTTGAACACAAAAGACCATGAATAAAAATAAGGAAGGGTTTTCCTGAACACCCCTAATTTCCCTATCTATCTATAGGTTTTGTTCAAGTTGCGACTCGATGGTGTGTGTGAAGTAATCGAGTTAGGAAAGGTGTTGCAACATTTGTCACTGACACAGGAAGAATTCCTGGACATGTGCATTGTTGCAGGTTGTGACTACTTAGAAAATGTACGTGGCATTGGTATCCATACTGCCCACAAGCTCGTGACAAAAGAAAAAACAGATTTCTTAGCTGTTTTACAGAGAAATCGATTTGCCCCGTCAGACTACAGTAGTGGATTTCAAAGGGCCAAGGCAATATTTCGTCACCAGACAGTGATTAATCCTATAAATGCAGAAACCATGCCACTTACGCCTTGGGGACAAACACCAGATAAGGAAGCTTTTCTGAACCCTTGTGGAATGTATCCAATTTAAGTAATTATAATTACTCACTATAAGTGCTCTTGCTCACTGTTTTTTATCTGCTATGATTGTCTGGGCGAGAGAATTTCTTATTCTAAAAGAATTTCTTATTCTAAAAAAATATTTTCATAAACGAAATTAAGTATTTAAAAAGTAGCCTGAGAATTTTTTGCTGTATGGCATTCACATGGAATAATTTACAATAATTGGATTTGAATTGATGGTGTGCTGAAAACTGTGTAAAATCAGATAGTCAGTTGTTGTACAGTTTCATTAGAGTGATTTTCATGAGACCGTGAAACAGTATCTAGCAATTAATCAAAATTAGCCAAAATTAGCTAAAACAATGAAAACAATGAAAGAAAGAAAACATGGAATTAATGTCTAATAGTGTGTACTAGTGCCTACTAACTTAGTAACTGTTTCACGGTCTTTTGAAAATCATTTTATGCATTTTAAAAAACTAGCTTTTCAAAGATAGAAAATAATCCATTTATTGTGTTTTGTTGATTACTTAATATCATATTAGCCTTCTCTCAAATGAGTATGCAGTTAACCTTGCTGTGGGTAATGTTGATCCCAGGGAGAGCACAACTATCAGGAATACCTTTGCACTTCCCATCAAGGTAAATTATATGCTAACAACTAATTTATTCTTTCTATTTTATTAACTGATAAAGCGGAGTATGCATCACATCTTTAAACTATTTTTATTCAGAAAAACTTTTAACTTAAACATTACAGATAAAATACTGAGAAGTCTCAAGTGACCTTCTAAACTCTTGACCATGTGTTGTTTTTAGAAGTGGCTTATTTACAATCATTTAGTTTCTATTGTGGAATAAAAATGTGCTATAACATTGGCCTTTTTCAGTTCATCCCACATGAATGTGACAAATAACTAATTCTCAAGAAAATGCTTCCTTCTTCATTCCTTTAATCCAAAAAGAACTGAAGAAAGACAAAAAATAACTAAGGACACCATTATTAATTGAAATATACTAAACAAGCTTGCTCATCACAGCTATTCACATGCAGTGCACTTAGTTACATAATTTATACTAATACTTATACAGCATGAAATAGAGTACTAAGGTGTGACGTCATAAAAATGAAATTTCTGAAATTATGGGATTTGTCAGGGTATTCTGAAAGAACAATGTCCAAGAGGCCTACTTGCCAAAAATGAGCATTTGGGGGCAAATTGTCTCTGAGATCGTAGCCTAGTTATGCTTACAAAATTCCATACAAACCCTTCTAAATATTTTTTGGGTCGACCCAAGAAAAAATTAGAGGGGGTTTGTAGGGAGTTTTCTGAGTATAACTGGGCTACGATCTCAGAGACAATTTGCCCCAAAATGCTCATTTTTGGCAAGTAGGTCTCTTGGACATTGTTCTTTCAGAATATCCTGACAAATCCCATAATTTCAGAAATTTCATTTTTATGACGTCATCACTTTAGTACTCTATAAGGAATGCTTTTTATTACAACCATTTTTCTGTAGAAGGGTTTGTGGCAGCCTAGAGACCTGGCATTAACAGTTTCAAGTCTTGGACAAGATAACATTGAGTGGACTATTCCGTCATTCCCTGTTCTGACGATAGAATTTGTAAAAGGAACTGTTTCTATAACTGGTAGAAGGACAGGGTGGCCTGCGCTATTCCAAGCTGATGACAGTGGACGGACAAAATGTGGAGATGAAATCATTGCTCAAAAATGGTGTAACATTGTGGTTGAAAACATCACATATTTGGTCATTTGGGAATTTAGACGGTCTGAACCAGTAGAGCCGGAGGATCATTCAATTGTTAATGCTGATGATTCTGATGATTCAAATGAGGAGAACGATTCTTCAGAAATTGAGCATACTGTTCCTTTCAAAGTACTTGGTACTGCATATAAAGGACGACAAATTATCCTTAAAAATGCATACGAGTGTTTGGAAAATAACAAAGATGTACAAGCGCAGCTCCAACCAGAGCCTGAAAATGATTATGACCAAAATGCAATAGCCGTATTAATAAACTGTGGTAGTGGTTGGAACAAAGTTGGTTACATTGCCAAAGAGTTAACAAGTGACATACACCCTATCATTGAAAGAAACAACATCAAAGTAACTGTTGCACGCATTCGCTTTAGAGTAAACTACTTGTTAGTTGGCTTTTATGTAACCTTAAATATCACTAAAAGGGACCCTGGAGCTCCAAAGTTGTCAGGGCCTCAAGAAAAGTCCAGTAAAACTTTACACGTGTAAATGTAAATAAGTTAGAAAAGTGCATTATCTTTGTCCCAATTTTAGTTTACTAAGGCTAACATCAATATGCAAAACTATAAGTTAATAAACTTATGCTACACTGTTGGTGGTGGAGGTAATTGTTCTGGTGCTCTGTGAAATGAAGCCCTGACTGTCAGAGAATTTCTTTGTGGCAAGGATGCCCTATTTGCCACAAAAACCCCTGGATCAGAACGTCTTGACAACCTAACCCTGTCCAATCTTTCTGTTTGACCTGATGCATCATTGAAGGAAGGCAGTGGGGCAGTTGTGAATCGATGTCGGTGTCCTGTCCAGTAGTAAAATTGAAGCTCTGGGTCTATCTTCTTGGTAAACTCATTTAGAATTTTGGGTTGCTGTTCTAAAAATTCCTTGTGGTCAAACACATCTCCAAGTTGATCATGGAGATGTGCAATGAAGCCTTCAACGTCATCTGTGCTGCTTGCACGTGGGTGCTCCGGGGGCAAACCTCTCTCTTGATACTCTGCTCGACGGAGTTCAAGGCTTTCACAGTTCGCAATCAAAGCAACCACAATTTCTCTAGTGAAACCTTTAATACCCTTTATAGGGCGCATGACATCAATAGTTGAAAAGTCCCTTTCGTACTCATGCCAGGGCATCCAATCAGTCAACAGAAAATTGATCATGTCATTGTTATACTTTGACCGTGTTTCCTCTGATAGTCCCCGTCCATCTGCCGCCTTATGCCAGTTTCGAACAGTTTCAACAAAGTGTGCCTCTGAAGTATGGCCATTCCTTTGCATGAACTCCAGTACACCCTTTGAAAACACCTGTTCACAATGTGGTACTGACTGTTTCTGTTTTCCAGTTAAAGCCTCATAAGTTAAACCTGTATTTAAAAAAAATGCCGTTGCTGAGGCTTCCAAAAACTTTTGATATTCCTTTTTTTTTAAATACTGCTCAATTACATATTTTGTATGTAAGCAAATTCCTTTTGTATTTTGGAGAAATTTTCAGTGAAAAAAAAAAAATGTACATGTGGTAGGTCAAAGCAATTTTGTTGTCATGGTCATGACAAGAACATTAATAATATTAACCCTTTCACTTCCACAGTCAATAATTATGGAGACATGTAAAGCACTAGTTCTAACTTTTGAGTCTGTGGACAAAATCGTATGGTGTGACCATTCAAATGAAACCTCTTCAGCAGTACATTTTTTACGGAAACATTAGTTTTTCAATATTTTACAAAATGAAATCTGGTATTTTTCTTGAATTTTTTTTCTTTGGCACCCTTGGGAGTTAAAGGGATAGTAATTATTAGAATGAATTACATCAGTTCATATAAGGATAATGTGAAAAGACAAAAAAAAAAGGCTATTAACCCTTTCACGAACTATCAAAAAATAATCAAAGCAAGAAATGTCAGAATGCCATTTTCTATGTCATCAATATACCTGTAGTACACAGGTATGAATACAAGAATTCATTTAAACCCAGAGGGGGTCAAATGAATCATTATTATCAAAACATCATGATTAAAGGTACATGTTCACCCAATCTGCTGTGTGTGTTTGTGTTTTTGTTTTAAAACAGGTTCAATTGTTCAATGTAGCATTATGATTGCCTGGAACGTTAATTTTTAGATTTTCCATCAGTGCAAAAATAAGCTTGGGCGCACATTGCATTTTGGATGAACAAGGGCCTTTAATAGACTACGCACACAACACAAATAATTGTTATTAACCTGAATGAGCATCATGCAGGGCATCTCTGAAGTAGCGGGTGTCAACCCCTGGGATTTCACCTGCACGAAGACATTCAGTGATACGTTTAAGAACATGGTTGTGGTCTTCTCTCTCATGTATGTATTCCCCAGTGACATCACACAATTCAGGCTGGTAAAGGTGTTTGCTGAAGTCCACATTTAATTCTTCTTTCATTCGTTTTATTTTGTAGCGGAACAAGTATGTTGCCATCAAAGACTTAAGACAACCTTTGGTATCCTCTTCAGCCACTGTTTAAAGGAAAAGAAACAATTGAAAATAAATGATAAATAGAACTGAAAGGTACATTGACAGTACATGGCACCTTAGGCCATGGGTAGCCTATAAACTGGCCCTACTGATCCTCTATAACAGCCCGTGCACAGGCAGAGATTTAATGTAATAATAATTTCATTTTTAAATTTTGTTATTTAATATGCAATTTTAAATTAGTAGTTGGACTTCATGCCGTACCATTTGAGGGTAATAGTGCTCATAAAACAAGAAAGATATTACAAACTACAGCATATACTTTTTGCATCCCAAGGATAAGGGTCATAATTGGCAGGAAACAGCTTCCGTTTTAAAATGTGGATGGCGCTTTCAAATGGTACTTGATTGCCATCAGCATTCATGAAGTCATAAAGCCATACAATGTCCTCAACCGGAATGGCTGGGTGTTGAGCCTGACCTCTTACAGAAAATGTCCCATTGGCACCTGTTAGGAAGAAAAGTTAAGGTTTTAAAATACATGCGAATTGCCTCTTCGAAACAAAGGAGATTCAAATCAATCTAGGTTGAAATCATTTTAACCTGAATTTCATTTCCACCTACAACACACACACACACATACACACACACATATGATAGTGAAGAATTTCCAGTGGTCAGATTTTGGCATAGATAAAACATCAGTTAAAGAAAAGTTACCTGGGACTGCAACTGGTGTGAAATACCTCCGTATGGCATTAACATTGGTGCTTCTAGCCTCTGACTTTGAATCCATCATCACTTGAATTATGGAAATAGCTCTTTTTGATCCCATAGTGCGGATGGAGTTAAATTCTCCATCTGTGACAGTGCCTAAAACAAACAAAAATCAGATAAATAAATTGTTGTTTGGCTTATTTCAAATTACAATTTTGGGAGGTGGGGGGGGGGTGGGCGGGTGAAGATGCAAATCACCATTCAGTTGCTGAGTAAAAAAAAAATGACAATTATTTAAAAATTCAACAGGCTCTATGCACTCTAAAAGTACCAATATACTCAGCGCTATGCCAGTCTGGTCTGAGAAAGGTGGCTTTTAAGCAGCAGAGCAGCCCCTTTCTGTTGTATAAACTTAAGGTAGTTAACAGAGACAATTAAAGAAAAATCTTAACTCACCAACCACAAGCATTCCCAAATTTACCATGGCACTCCGTAGCTCCATACACAGTTCACGCAGTTTATTGTCAGTCACACTGTGGTAAGGTATAAATCGTACAGGAACAGCATAGGGCTTCATGTCGCGTTTTTCATCGGCTATCATGAACACCATGAGATGAGAGGCAGCTTCTCTATGCTTGGAAAAAAGATCCTTAGCATAGGAAAGAAGCCTTTGGCGTAAAGAAGTGAGATCACCAGCAATATTACCATCTCTCTGGTTTGTTGAAATTCTTAAGTGCAGGCTGGAAATTGAAGACTTTAGGTCTTTGTTAATGTTAATGAGAGTCTGGAAGCATTCACACTCCCAAGCCAATGCAAACATGCCATCTTCAGAAGCATTTGACTGACGTTGTTTAGCTGCATACTTGTCTTTTGCAGCTTTCTCTCCACCAACCAGAAACCTTAAATCGTTATCCAAACCAGAAATCACAAGCGCCATATCTTCTTTCATTCTTACTCTTCGATCCTTAAGTCCTAATCCACCATAGAAGGTTTTTCTGTCCATGTATTCCTGATATAAAGTTTGAAGCTTTCCATCTCCCAGGTCACAATCTCCTGCCCACTCATGACGCATTGACTCACGCAGTCCCTTTCGCAGGTCACATGCATCTGCTTTAATCCACCAACGTCCGTTTTGTTTCTTTCTTTAATCTTCTTAAGAACAGCGACCTAGCAAGAAAAAAAAAAAGAATAACAAGTGGAAAGAAATCCTCATCTACTATAAAGTGCTCAATAGCAGAGCTAGAGCTAAGAATAATTATACTCCAAGAGCTAGGTTATTCGAACATTTACATTTTTTGTTGCCTGAAGATTGCTTCGCAAGAAGCATGAAACTCAGAGTTGCAGTAAATGTTCGAATAACCTAGCTCTTGGAGTATAATATATATATATATATGTTTTTCAAATATATTTCATATCTATTTAATCATATGTGCACTCACCTGAACATTTGTGTCTCTTGAAAACTCAGCAGCCTGTATACGACGTTGAAGAGTCCTTACAGAATGACCTGCAACATTGACTTTAGCTTTCATCGGATCCACTTCTGTCCTTTTCTTTTTTATGTGCCTGTGGGCGAATACCATGAAATGTTTCCAGTTCTATTGGTCTATCGCCGTTTGCAATTTGTTCTTTTTCTTCAGAACCAAGTCGTGCCCAAAGGTAGCTCACTTCTTCATTGACCTGGTCGTTCACCTCAAGCTCGTCTTCTGCCTCAACAAGGGTTTCAACCTCAAGCCCATATCCTGCCTCAACAATTGTTTCAACCCCAAGCCCATCTCCTACCTCAACAATGGTTCCAACCTCAAGAGGGTCTCCTGCCTCGACAACAGTTTCAACCTCAATCCCATCTCCTGTCTGAACAATGGCTCCAACCTCAAGAGGGTCATCTGTGTCAACAAGGGTTTCTACATCAAGGCAGTCATCTGCCCCAACTTTCTCTCTAGTGGTATCTTGGTCTTCAACCTCATCTTGTACCCCATTCTGGGTACCCACTTGAAATGTTTCATTCCATGCTTGTTGAAGGATACTTGAGGAACCTTGCTCACTGCTGTTTGTGTTGCTGGTGCTATTACAAGCTGCAGCTGAGGAATCATCAACAACAGTCTCATCATAGGCAAACCCTGGGTCCCTCTGTAAGCAAATCCATTTATGACCAAAGTTGGAGAACATAGTTGTCTCCCACTCCACAAAATGGGGGTCTGATGAAATGTTGTTCACAGTGTCCATAGCAAAATAGCGAATATTGTAGCTTAATAATCCAAACGGCATCTTGTCAATAGGGAGCCGTGGACCTGAACCATCTTTCCGTGACATTCCAAGTCCCCTGGC